ATATAGTCTCTACAGATTCTTGCTCATCTTTGTTGGTATTTCAGCTAATGTCCTCTTTCTTGGGTCCTGGGAACCTCTTGGGTCCCTGGTATCTGGAACTTTCTAGTGGCTACCTGGCCCCCATTCCACCTCCACTACCACATACCTCCTTTCAAATTCCTGAGCCCCTGTACTTCTCCCCCATCTTCTCCCATATGTAAACCAGCCCCTCTTTTCCCCTCCCTCTCCTCTCTCCCTGCCAGATCCCTCTCTCCCCCTACCTCCCATTATTTTCTTTCCCCTTCTGAGTAGGACTATAGCATCCACACTCTGGTATGGTCTTCCTTCCTGGGTTTCATATGGTCTGTGAGTTGTATCATGGGTAGGTATTCTGAGCTTCTTTTTGACTAATATTCACTTATCAGTGAGTACATACCATGTGTGTTCTTTTGTGATTGGGTTAACTTAGGATGATATTTTTTCAATTTCTATCCATTTGCCTGTGAAATTCATAAAATCATTGTTTTTGATTGCTGAGTAGTAATCCATTGTGTAAGTGTACCACATTTTCTGTATCCATTCCTCTGTTGAGAGACATCTAGGTTGTTTACAGATTCTGGCTGTTATAAATAAAGCTGCTATGAACATAGTGGAACATGTGTCCTTGTTATATATTGGAGCATCTTTTGGGTATATGCCCAGGAATGGTATAGCTGTGTCCTTGGGTAGAACTATTTCCAGTTTTTTGAGGAACATCCAGACTGATTTCCAGAGTGGTTGTACCAGCTTGCAATCTGATCAGCAATAAAAGAGTGTTCTTCTTTTTTCCACATCCTTGCCAGCATCTGCTGTCACCTGAGTGTTTTTATCTTAGTCATTCTGACTGGTGTGAGGTGGAATCTCAGGGTCGTTTTGATTTGCATTTCCTGGTGACTAAGGATGCTGAACATTTCTTTAGGTGCTTCTTTACCATTCCAGTTTCCTCAGTTGAGAATGCTCTGTTTGAGCTCTGTACACCATTTTTTAATAGGGCTATTTGGTTCTCTAGAGTCTAACTTCTTGAGTTCTTTGTATATACTGGATATTAGCCCTTTCTTGGATATAGGGTTGATAAATATCTTTTCCCAATCTCCAAGTTTCTGTTTTGTCCTATTGACAGTATTCTTTGCCTTACAGAAGCTTTGCAATTTTATGAGGTCCCATTTGTCAATTCTTGATCTTAGAGCATGAGCCATTGGTGTTCTGTTCAGGAAAATTTCCTGTGCCTATGTGTTTGAAATTATTAAGACAGTTTTAAAAAGTGAAGTAGATACCAGAAAATGGAACGATGTTTCATTGATATTGTGAGATGGCCGTCCTACCAAAAGCAATCTACATATTCCACAACCCCATCATAATTCCAATTGCAGTTCTTTACAGAAAATGAAAAAAAAATTTCAGAATTCATATGGAAGCACAAAAGAATCAGGATAGCCAAAATAATCCTGAACAATAAAAACATTGTTCGATTTATCACCATCCCTGATTTTCAAGTTATATTACCAAGCTACAGTAGTAAAAAACATCATGTTACTGGTGTATAAACAGACATATTGGGCCTGGAGAGGTATCTCAGTGGTTAAGATCACCTACTGCTCTTGCATTGACTGAAGTTTTATTTCCAGCATTCATTTTAATTTTTTTAAGTTTACAAGTCAATTTACTTTAAGTAAATTTAAGTTTACAAAAGCTTATAACTCAAGCTCCAGATGATTTAATGCCTCATCTACATTCATGAACATATCCATATACAAGCACACACACACACACACAATTAAAATAAAATGAACACTTTTAAAAACAGACACATAGTGAAACATAATTCAGGACCCAAATACAAGCCCACGTTTCTAAAGCCATATGATTTTTGACAAAGAGGCCAAAAATACACACTGTGGAAAAAAACAAATCAAAACAGATGTCAGATGGTACTGGTTAAATGAAATAGCTATATATAAAACTGGTTTGCATTTCTTACACAAAACACAACTCCAAATGCATTAAGAATCTCAGCATAGGACCTAATACCATGAATCTGATAGAGGAGAACATAAGAAATACATTTAAACTTACAGACCCAGGAAGTTTTTTTTGCTCTCTCTCTCAATATCTCTCTTCTCTCTTCTCTCTCTCTCTCTCTCTCTCTCTCTCTCTCTCTCTCTCTCTCTCTCTCTCTCTCTCTCTGTGGGTCTGTGTGTGTCTGTGTTTCAAGACAGTGTTTGTTGTGTAGCCCTGGCTCTCCTGGAACTCACTCCATAGAGCAGGCTGATCTTGATCCTCTTGCCTCTACCTCTAGAGTGTTGAGGTTAAAGGCTTGAGTCACCACCATCCAGCAGAAAAGTAACTTTCTGAATAGGACCCCAGTAGGGCAGCCATTAATACCAAAAATTAATAAGTGAAACTTAAAAGCTTCTGTACAATAAAAGACTATTATTTGAGCAAATGGCTAGCCTATAGAAAGAGAAAAAAATTTTTAGTTCTACATCTCACAAAGGGTAAGTATCTAGAATATACAAGGAACTGAAAAAAGCTAAACACTAATAAAACCAACAGCCTAATTAAAAAGTTGGAGCATGAATCTAAACAGTGTTCCCAAAAGAAGAAATAAAAATGGTTGATAAGTGGTTTTAACATTTCAAAAATATTCAACATTCTTAGTCATCAGGCAAATACTAAGAAGAACTACTTTGAGATTTTATATTCTCCCAATCATTACATCTAAGATTTAAAAAAAAAATTGTATCAAGTGCTGGGATGAGTGTGTGTAAAGTGGAACACTTATTTACTATTGATAGGAGTGAAAACTGATGTAGCACTGTGGAAATATATGGAAGTTCCTCAAAAAGCTAGAAGTAAATCTACAGTATTATCCAGCTATAAAAATCCTAGACATGATAACAAAAATGTGGTACATATGTACAACAGAATATTATTCGGTTGTAAAGGAAAATGAAATACACAGGTAAATGGATGCAGCTGGAAATTGATATTCAGAGTCAGATGGCTGAGAAAGACATACACTGCATATTCTCACTTGTGTGGATGCTAGCTTTGAATTATTACATACATGTGTTTTGAATTGAAGTAACTATAGAAGTCAGAAAACTAATAAATGAACATGAAAGTAGAGAATTTCAAGGTAAGGGAGATAGATATCAGGTGGTATGAAGGTGGAAAGGGGAATAAAAGAAGAGAAGGGCTTAGTGGGATAAGGAATAGAAGAGTAGGATAGAAGAAGGAGTAATGAGAGGGATAACTGAAATTTGAAAAAAGCCATATGAAAAAACTATTATCTAGAAGCTTCCTAAAATATATAGTAAACAAATATTTTTTTTAAAAGGGTTTAAATAGTGTTACTGTATAGGTGAGGGAACAAAGCCTATCCTACACAATATAGGCTATCAAGTAAAAACTTCAGTGCCATGTATGGGTTAACTATTTTATAGTGATTGTTTAATGGAAAAGAAGCAACAAGCTACAGTCTTGGCACATTCAAGGACTTAGCTGACACCCCACAGCTTTGTCTTATAATATCTGATGAATTTAGGAGAATTTTCAGTCTCCTACAGGACATCTCCAGACACTGTTGATCGCTCAAGCTCAATAATAAAATAAAAATGAAATTCATATACGTTTTCTTATCCTGGGAGAATTGTCTCCATCTAAATAGTTTCTCAAGAAATTAAATTAGGAGTCATGACAACTCTTTTGTAGTAAAGTCATTATCAATTTGGTATTTATGAGAGAAATGAGAAATTGCAAACAGACTAAAGTCTTCTGAGGTTCCATGTAAAACATGTAATTCTTACACACACACACACACACACACACACACACACACACACACACACACA